CCCCAAAACCCCAAAACCCCAAAACCCCTTTGCAAATTTAATTGCTTGAATCGCTTGTTGTTGTATAATAATAAATATGGCTGACTGGTTCTTTGACAAAAGCAATAATTGTAAGTATGAAACCTCAATGATATCAATCTGGGAAGTATCACAGAGACTATTTGTCACTCTTAAAAGAGCTAATTTCATAAAATAGCTAGTCTAAGAAAAATTTGGTAAAATTTGATAATATTATACACTACTTTTCACCTAACCTGAGATTTTGAAAAGAATGTTTCTGGAGTATTTTAGATCATCCAGACTTCTTGATTTCTCATAATTTCAAGTTTACTACCAAATGTGCTCTCTAAATAGGCTTAAAATTTTTTGAAAAATTCAGAAATTTTTCATTGTTCATTCATGATCTGAAGACAAAAACCTAATTCTTTATGAAAATCTTTGAATTGAAAATTGATAATTTGAATATAGTAAGCACTCAAAAGCCTCCTCAAGGGCCTAAAAGAAGATCACTAATGGCTCAAAATGAAAAATTTATATCAGATCTGAAACAGTTTAACAAAACGGGCAAAAGCAAGAAGACAAGTCTCAACACATCAAAAACCTTTGACAACTGTGAAACAGAAAGTATGTGCTCTTCACCTTCTTCCTTTAGTTTTGCTGGGTTCAGTAAATTTAAGACATATTTTTAAGCTATTCGGAGGTATCCGGCTTCATTTCCTGAAATATCCAAATATTATGAAACTTTGAAGGATGAACAAATTCAACATGTGCATAACAAACTTAACCAATTGTTATAGAAGATATTAGCCAGCTGAACCTCACTGAATTCGAAGAAGAGCTTTTCAGCGAAGAGGTAATTCCTTTCCTAAACCTTTTAGGATGCATTATCAGAAGCAAATAGTATTACATTCAGTAACCAAAAAGTGAAAGAAAAGTACTCTTTGACTAATTTGTAGTCCTAAAATTCCCCCACTTTTCGTCCTACCAAAAATCAAGTAAGCCAAAAGTTGTTATAATTTAGCAAAAAGTCGTCTCGAAGGCGGACAGTAGGGCTCAAACTTGAGGCTCCTCAGCGAAGAGACCCCTTCCACACCCCTCAGATAAAGTCATCAAAGTTGAATGACCTCAAAAGTTCCATATTCATGCCAACATATAAGACTTATATGATAAATAAAGCTGTGAACGATAAAGAGTACTCAATGACCATCGATCCATCCAAGAGTTATGAGTTTGCAAAGATGAAGCCTAAAGGTGGCCAATATTTACGGAGAACTAATCATCGAGATTCAAAGCAAGCGATTATTCAATTTGTATCGAATCAGAAGCGCAAAATGAAACACAAAGTTGCACCCAGAGCTCAGGAGTCAGATACCAGCGTAAAACTAGCTGACCAACATTACACTGCTGAGGAAAGTAATACTGGAAGGCTGAGACGAAGTGCAACTGCCAATTCATCAATAAAGATTCTATACTCTTAGTACCAAATAAGAAGAGCAGTAAGCTGAGTGTTTACGAGAGAAATGCTCCCTTTGTCAAGAAGTCATCCCTCAAACATTCAATGGGAAAAAATTGTAACAAGAAGACAATTTCCTTTTCAAGAAACAACACTATTTTCTCTTATTCGCAAAATAGCGAAATCAATTCTGATTGAAAGGTAAAACTTCATCAATAAACCTTAGGTGATCAAGCCTAGCAAGGAAGATGAAGCCAAGATTCCCAATCAATTGAATATAGAGGGCAAAGAAAAGAAATCAGCTCCAGTTTTTCATAAGCTGAACTCTCTTCCACAGTAGGTTTTAAAGGTCTAGGCATCTAGTATGAAACCACCTCTTTCAAAGAATAGCACGAAAGGGAGTACTTCTCACATGAAATTTTCACAGAAAAATTCTCTCTCAAGCTCATCCACCTTTAAGAACAGCACTGGAAGTCTTGCTAGGTTTGGAAACCTTCAACGCCAGAGTTGGAATAAACAAAGGGACCCTTCACTCACCCAAAACACACACCAAAATGTAGATTTCTTAAAATCCAAGAGCTCCACTCCCCTCAGGAGCAACTATTACTCCAAAATGGATATGTTTAGACAGAAAAACAAGATTGGGAGTGACTCGCCACTGATTGAGATATTCAAGAAGCCGAATTACTTCACTGACAAATATGATATGATCCGGAGCCCTCAGCCACATTACTAATCCTTCCTATCTCTAATCATAATTATTATCTTAAATGCACCTCTTGTTCTCCAAATAAGCCCTGACTATAATACTCAAATAATTTTTATCAGAGGTGGGCTCGATGTGGGACTCATCTTGAACCACCTCGATAGACAATAGTGTGCTGAGGTATTTTAACCCCAAATAATAATGGCCAAAGTGCAACAAAAGTATTAACGAATTCTAAAATTCCCCAGAAAACTTAGTTTATTAGGTTTAATAGCTTCGCAAAATCTTTAATAAAAAAATCGCATAAATTAGGGAAAATGTCTAGGTTTGGAAACTTTTTAGTGAAAATTGGCTATGCCTGATTTCCCATGCTTTCTTACGCTGAACTGGAGAGGAATTGAAGACATGTAGTAAAGTCTGAAACTTTTAACGATATAAATTATTTGCAAGTAATAATATCCATGAAGAAAATGTGCATAATATTAGCAAAAGAATTCTGGTGAGTACTGTGCAATAGGCTATCAGACAAAATCTATATGTGTTCTAGATATTTTTAGTATGAAGTTTAGGATGGGTAATAGACATACTCTTTCTAACAGCAGAATTTGCTTAAATTTGCATGTTTGTACTTTGATAGTTATGTTATATAGTCGTGACGGAAACTTTGAATAGTAAGTTTCATTTAGTTGAGATGGAGAAGCTATATCAATTTATTTTGATTGAGATATGATGCGGAAAGATCTGATTTCCAAGTTGAATAAAAGTTTATTAGTATCTAAACAACATTATTCTAAGATAGAAGTTAAGATGAGACAACCTAAAGCAAATATCAAAATTCTATTTCTTAAAAAACATATTATACTCTTACTAATTTAAATTGCAAGCTCTCAATCAAAACTCATCTCAAACTTATTTTTTTCGGCCTCTCCAAAGACTCAACCCCCATAAAACCCCTCACCTCCTCTCAACCCTACTATTCCAAACTTAAGCACTAATAATACCATTAAACCCTTCAACCTGTTAAAATATATAAGGGGTTTTGGGGTTTTGGGGTTTTGGGG